AATGTAAACTCAGGATTTTGTTAGTTTTATTTAAATACCTTAAAGATTATTTATCTGCTGCAGAAGTGAAAGTGCTTTGTTCAAATTTGAGGTCAACAAGAGTGTTTTAAAATAATGAGAATTAGAGAAAGCAAATGTTACTGAGCTTTGAAGGAAGCTTATCATGGCTTAGTTTTTTCTACTTGCAGCCTTCATATAAACCTTTTTCTTTAAGCTTCATATAGAAAAAATGTCTTCTCTTAGGACTTAAGTTATATTAAGAGTAAACAGAAACCTCTGGTGAAATCTGCTACACTTTTTATTGAAGTAAAGAGAAGTATTTCATTAAATGGGGCTATCTATCTGCAATGTTGATAGCAAGTGATATGTTACTGGTTTGGGATGGCAAGTTGGCTGTCTCATTTCCTCCCCACCTAGGTAGGTGGAGATGTCACAGGCTGTGAAGCAAAGTAGACAATTACTACTCTGAGTAAGTGTTCATTCTGTCCCTGTGCTTCTCCTATTCCCTTGCTACAAGAGACACGGAGATGCTGCATCATGTCTAGAGAAGGGCAGTCTTATGAGGAGCAGCTGAGGGACCTGGGGGTTTTCAGTATGGAGAAGAGAAGGCTCAGGGGGGACCATATCGCTCTCTATAACTACCTGAAAGGAGGATGGAGAAAGGTGGGTTTGGTCTCTTCTCCCAGGAAACAAGTGATAGGATGAGAAGAGACAGCCTCAAACTGCACCAGGGGAGGCTTACATTGGATATTAGGAAACATTACTTCACTGAAAGGGTTGTAAAGCATTGGAACAGGCTACCCAGGGAAGTGGTGGAATCACCATCCCTAGAGGTATTTAAAAGATGTGTAGATGCAGCACTTAAACACGGCTTAGTGATGGACTTTGCAGTGCTGGGTTAATGACTGGACTTGGTGATCTTAAATCTGTTTTCCAACCTAACCAATTAGAATCATACAGCCATAGAAGAGTTAGGGTTGGAAAGGACCTTTAGATCACAGTATCACAGTATGCTAGAGATTGGAAGGGACCTCAAAAGATGGCCGGAGCAGGAACACCTAGATAATGTTACACAGGAATGTGTCCAGGCGGGTTTTGAATGTCATCTGGGCAGCCTGTTCCAACCCCCCTGCCGTGGGCAGGCACACCTCACACTAAACCATACCACCCAAGGCCTCGTCAAACCTGGCCTTGAACACTGCCAGGGATGGAGCATTCACAACCTCCCTGGGCAACCTATTCCAGTGCCTCACCACCCTAACAGGAAAGAATTTCCTCCTTAGATCCAATCTAAACTTCCCCTGTTTAAGTTTTAACCCATTACCCCTTGTTCTATCACTACAGTCCCTAATGAAGAGTCCCTCCCTAGCATCCCTACAGGCGCCCTTCAGGTACAGGAAGGCTGCTATGAGGTCTCCACGCAGCCTTCTCTTCTCCAGGCTGAACAGCACCAACTTTCTCAGCCTATCTTCATACGGGAGGTGCTCCAGGCCTCTGATCATCCTCGTGGCAATTCTTTGTTCCAACAGTTCCATGTCCTTTTTATGTTGAGGACACCAGAACTGCACACAATACTCCAAGTGAGGTCTCACGAGAGCAGAGTAGTGGGACAGGATCAACTCCTTCAACCTGCTGGTCACGCTCCTTTTGATGCAGCCCAGGATACCGTTGGCTTTCTGGGCTGCAAGCACACACTGAAGCCGGCTCATGTTCATTTTCTCATCAACCAGCACCCCCAAGTCATTCTCCGCAGGTTTGCTCTGAATCTCTTCTCTGCTCAACCTATAGCTCTGCCTGGATTGCTCCGACCCAGGTGTAGGACCTTGCACATGGCACGGTTAAACTTCATAAGGTTGGCATCAGCCCACTTCACAAGCGTGTCAAGGTCCCTCTGGATGGCATTCCTTCCCTCCAGGGTATCAACCAAACCACACAGCTTGGTGTCATCGGCAAACTTGCTGAGGGCGCACTCAATCCCACTGTCCATGTCAGCGACAAAGATGTTAAACAAGACCGGTCCCAACACCGATCCCTGAGGGACACCACTCGTTACTGGTCTCCAGCCGGACATTGAGCCATTGACCACAACTCTCTGTGTGCGGCCATCCAGCCAGTTCTTTATCCACTGAGTGGTCCTTCCATCAAATTGATGTCGCTCTAATTTAGAGACAAGGATGTCGTGTGGGACAGTTTGAACGCTTTGCACAAGTCCAGGTAGATGACATCAACTGCTCTACCCCTGTCCATCATCTCTGTAGCCCCATCATAGAAGGCCACCAAATTGGTCAGGCAGGATTTCCCCTTAGTGAAGCCATGCTGGCTGTCACCAAGCACCTTGTTGATTTTCATGTGCCTTAGCATGCCTTCCAGGAGAATCTGCTCCAAAGTTTTGCAAGGCACAAATCAGTTCTGCATGAGGACAACAGATTTAGGAGGTAGCCCCTTGATTTTAATTGTCCTTTTCCTTCTCTTTTTGTTGTTTTTTTTTTTTTTTTTGGCACTAATTCCTCGCTTCCCGGTTTAACGGCCTCCTTCTTTCCTTCATGAGCTGGAGGGGAAGCTCGAGGCCCCTGCACAGTTTGGGCCGGGAGCAAGCATTCCTGCTTCCTCTCAGCTTCCCTGACATCTCGCAGTCTATTAACAGCATCCCGCAGCTAAGCCCCTGCTGCAGGAGCACCTCCACCAGAGAGCACCGAGTGCAGCCCTGCCCATTGTGCACCCTCCCCTCACCAGACCGGTGCAGGCACTCTCTACACCCCGAGCTCTGCACTGCACCCACCTCTGTCATCTGCTCTGTCTGGGTGCCTACGCTGCCACCGCTGGGGCAGCCAGAGCAGAGCTCCCAGACTGGGCCCTGGTCATACGCCGAGTGCTCACCATCCCGCTCGCCCGCCCACGCAAACTGCCTCCACCCACCCTGGTCCCTCGCGCTCCCTGGGGCAAGTTTTTACCCAGTCAGGGCTGGTGCCGCTCCTCCTGGCTTCACCCCCTGTGAGTCAGCTGCTGGCCTTAGCTGAGCTGCCAACTCCTGGGCAGGTCCTGTCGAGGACCTATTTTAATTTAGTCTATTATATTTTTCTAATATTCTTCTAATGTCTTCCTGTGCCAGAGGCTAGTGGAGGCTTGACATGTTAGGAGGATATCAACACCATGTGCGAGTAGAATTATTTTGAGGCTAGAATATAGGCTATAACTAAGAGTAATGGGATAAGATGAGGATGGGAGCATTTAGACTGACACCTAAGGAGCCTTGTCAGTAAGATCCATTGAACTGTGAAGGTATTTTCCTACAGAATATGGTGAAAGTCTCATAAATTTGAAGTTGCAATGACACATATTAGAAGAATTACTATATGTGGAGCAATCAGACTTACTTGTAATTGGAAATTACCTCTCTTTGATCTAAATTTTGGCTATTTCTCCTCATTTACTCTATCCAGCCTCTTCAGTGGGACTGGACAGAATTTATGGAGAAAAAAAGTATGCTGTATTTATATACAGGATTACCCGAGTAAGCTGTACTGCAAGAGGTATCTGTACCATTTCCCAATGCAGGCAAAAAAACACCACAGCTCTGCTTTTTCTCCATTGCTAACTGCTGCGGAGAGGAATGATGTGACTGTTCCCTGCCTTGCTACCCAGTGAATTAATAAAACTATGTGTTTTCATTGCTAATAGAATTTTTGAGACAAAAACTGCAGAATAAGAGATCTCTTCCTTGAATGGCTAAGATGGCATCAATAATATGATAAAAGCCAATTTTGATAGCTAATTTGAGAAATGTGCCTTTCTGAAGTGCTGAGTTTGATTCTCTGTGGGAACTAGTGTTATGATGATGAAAGTGAGGTGTGGCAGCACCTAGATGTGGTGGGATCTGAGCAGCCATGACTGCCAACAGTACATAGAATCACAGAATCAACTAGAATCACTAGAATCAGCTAGACCTTTGAGATCATCAAGTCCAACCTTTACCCTAGGACTGCCAAGTCCACCACTGATGCTCCCCCTTGAGAAAGGCAGAGGAGGAGGAAGCCAACCGAGGAGCCTGGAATCTCCCAGTCCAGAGATGAAGGGTCACCTTTATTGTGCCAACGGAGGGGGATCACAGTGGTCGCTCAGAGATGAAACACTGTTGGTCTCACTGAGGTGTCCAGGCCATGCGTTGGGAGTTTGGGCCCGATGTTGCAAGTGGGAGTTGTCTCACACCCACGTGGGGCTAGTGGGGATGGAGCTGCTGCCGTTTTCCCGCGCTGCAGAGTCAGGGGATGCTGCTGACGGCCGATGCCTGCTGGTTCTGGGGCTTCTGGTCTCAGGTATTGGAGAGCACTGGGACAGCCCCGCACTGCTGGCTGCAGGTGCTCCTTTCACCACGTGGTGCTGGCGCTTGGCTTCTCTTCTGCTGTCTTCTGGGCTGCGTGCAGGCAGTTTGGGTGTGACAGTTCAAATGGGAGCACGCTGGGGAGCCATGGCATGGCCCGGTTGTTGCAGTGCCAGTGTCTGGTGCCAGGCAACTGTGGCATGGCTATAAAGCCTCCTGGCTGTCAGTGCTGGAGCTGCTGCTCCCTGATGACTCCTGACTGTCACTGCTGCAGCAGCTGCTAGCACGTGCTGGGGAGCGCTGGGATAGCCGCGACGCAGCCTGTCTGCGTGTGCTCCTCTTTGCACGTGGTGCTGGCGTGTGGGTGCTCTAACAGCATCTTCTGCGCTGTGTGTTGGGAGTTTGGGCCCGGCATTGCGAGCAGGAGCGGTCTCGCGCCCCCATGGGCCCGGTGGATCTTGAGGCACTGCCTCTTTGTTGTGCTCTGGAGCCACGGGATGGTGCTGACGGCCGCTGTCTTGTGGTGCTGCGGCTGTGGCTCGCATGTGCTGGTGAGCGCTGGGACAGCCTGGACACAGCCTGTCTGCCTCCTGGCTCGTGCTGCTGGTGTGTGGCTGCCCTGGGAGCATCTTCTGGGCCGTGCATAAGGAGCTTGGGCCCGACGCTGCACACAGGAGCAGTCTCACACCCGCATGGGCTCACTGGGTCCGTTGCCCCTGCTTCTTTGCAGTGGTGCAGAGCCACGGGATGCCACCGATGGCTGCTGCCTGGTGGTGCTCCACCTGCGGGTCTGCTCTGATGCTGCCTGGCTGCGGGTGCTGGGGCTGCTGAACTCCAGTTCCAGAGATCTAGGAGACTGCCCCGATGCTGCTGGGCCGGTAGTGCTGGGACCAGCAAGCTCTGACCTGGCACTGGAGGCTACAAGGGAAAGCAGGAACAATAAGGGCTTGGCTCCCAAGCCTGGGGCAGTGTAGGCCAGGATGGTGCCCCAGCCCTCCTGGAGCAGACAGGCTCTGCCAAGCCCACACCAGACACCCACTGCCCGGCCTTGCCTGGCCCCTGGCCCCAGCCCAGGAGCACCCGGGTGCTTTGACACTTACAGCTGCCCAGGCCAGCATGGCTGTCACACTCCCATCTGGCCTCATGGCTGTTCCCCAGGTTGGAGCAGCGTCTGTGAGTGCCCACAGCAGCACAGGAGCTGCACAGAAAGAGCTGCCAGGGCCTGGGGAAAGAAATGGGTTCATGTCTCTAAGGATAAAGTGCCCACAGAACGGGACTGTCCAGCAGAGCTCGTGTTATCAGCCCTTCTGCTTTGAGCCCTTGCTGAGACAGAGATCCCATGCCGAGCCCCGGGGTGCACCTTTGGCAACTTACCCATCTGGCTCTGCCACCCCTCTGCCTCCTGGACAAAGGCACTCCCTGGCATCGCAGCTCCTGTGCCTCTGGTACAGTTCTGCGCATGCATTGCTGTCTCCCCTTGACGCTTGTCTGATGGAGAAAGGAAACTTGATGAGCCCCTGCTGCCACAGCATAAGGCATATGCAGGGCCTCCCCGCTCTTCCACCCACACCCCGTTTCCAACTCCTGCATGGAGCTAAAGCCTAGACTTGGGGGTCAGCGGAGGGCCATAACTGCGGGGGCAGGTCCAGGCGTGGCGCAGTGCTGGCCAGGAGGACACCAACCTCACTGGGATTCGGATCCCCATGAAGAACATTTCTGTTAGAAACAGTCTCGTATTTTGACACAGAGGGCACTGCAAGGAAAAAGCGCCAGCACACATAGCCAGTCCCTGCAGGAGAAACAGAAAAAGCGTGAGTGAGGCTCTGGTGCTGCTGAGAGCCTGCTGTGCCCGGAGCAAGTGAACGGCTCCTACCTGGATGCAGGCCCTGTGGAACCAGGCACGTTTGCATGCTGGGCACACCTTGGTCCCATAGGTCGTTCTGCCTTCAACAGGGTCCATGCAGATGATGCAGTTGATGTCCTCTGGAGCCGCCAGCTCTTGCTGCTGTGGGCGGTGCTCCCAGCAGAAGGAACTAGGGAAAGAGGGGAGGGATGGGTGAGACGAGAAGCGTTGGGTCCTTCCCTGGTGATGGGGAGAAGGGTAGAGGGGGTACCTGTACGGCACGAGGTAATGGGTGACGCATCCACCTTCCACGGCACAGGGGAGATGGAACCTGCGGTCGCAGCCCACCTCCTGGCAGGTGATGGTGGCCCCCCTCTCGCCACACACAAAGCAGACCTGGAAAGAGCAGAGCAGCCCCCATCAGCGGCAGCCTCAGGGTCTCCACAGCCAGACCCACACCTCGGGGCAGGGCGCAGGATGTGGCCCCAGCTGGATCACAGGCCACAGATCCACCTGGCAGAGCAGGCTCCTGTGCTGCAGGAGGACCCCCACCAGGGAGCACCGAGAGCAGCCCTGCCCATTGTGCACCCTCCCCTCACCAGACCAGTGCAGGCACTCTCTGCACTCCGAGCTCTGCCGGGCTCATTAGCCCCCTGCAGGACAGCAAAGCGGTTCTGCGTGGGGACAGGGGATTTAGGGGGAAGCCCCTTGCTTTTAATTGTCCTTTTCCTCCTCTTTTTGTTGGTTTTGTCACTAATTCCCAGCTTCCCGGGTTAACGGCCTCCTTCTTTCCTTCATGAGGCAGAGGTGAAGCTCGAGGCCCCTGCACAGTTTGGGCCGGGAGCAAGCATTCCTGCTTCCTCTCAGCTTCCCTGACATCCCGCAGTCTATTGACAGCATCCCGCAGCTCAGCCCCTGCTGCAGGAGCACCTCCACCAGGGAGCACCGAGTGCAGCCCTGCCCATTGTGCACCCTCCCCTCACCAGACCAGTGCAGGCACTCTCTACACCCCGAGCTCTGCACTGCAGCCTCCCCTCTCATCGGCTCTGTCTGGGTGCCTACGCTGCCACCGCCGGGGCAGCCAGAGCAGAGCTCCCAGACTGGGCCCTGGTCATACGCCGAGTGCTCACCATCCCGCTCGCCTGCCCACGCAAACTGCCTCCACCCACCCTGGTCCCTCGCGCTCCCTGGGGCAAGTTTTTACCCACTCAGGGCTGGTGCCGCTGCTTCAGGCTCCACCCCGTGTGAGTCCCTGCTCGCCTCAGCTGAGCTGCCGGCTCCCGGGCAGGTCCTGTCGAGGACTCGAGGCTCCCTCGGTGGCTGTTGTCGCTCTGAGTTGAGGCTCCTGGACGCTGATCTCCCCCCGCTCCGGTGCTGAAGGCGTCCTCTCTCGAGCTGCTCACCTCAGCAATTCAATGACACAATTATATGCTATGTTACAATACATAAAAAAGCCTGCAGAGTAAGATCGAAATGTTGATAAGCGCTCTGATTGGCACATTATTTGACTAATTTTTCTTATTTTTTTCCCATGGATTCATTTAACTCAAAGCAGCCATTTTTATTAAAAGGAAAATACAGTATCTCCTTTACTGCTATGCAGAACAAGATTCAGAGACTGTAACATCAGAAAATGATTAATAACAAAATACTGATTATTACACTTCCAGTAACTTGAGGAAAGATTAATTTACAGTGAGTGGAGTTAAATGATCTTGGCTTCATTTTTGCTTCATGGATTTTTCTAGCTTTTGCCCTTTCCACCTAACTCTTTCACTCTATATATCTAATACCAGGGCACACCTCATTTATGGGATCACCAAAAAGAATTACAGCAAAATATCATGTTTTCTTCCATTACTTGTGAGTTTTTCCCCTCCCTTCGTTTCCTTCAACATATATATCTATCATCTGTTTGGAAAAGTGTCAATAAATCACAGACAATTATTATTTTTCCATCACCACAAATTAAATACCTTTCTGTTCAGAAAGGCTTACATAGAAAAATATGTGTTGCTGTTGAAACTATTTATAGCTTTCAGTGTAGTGCATCATTTTCAATCCCTGGTGGCTTTTGTACCAAATGATTCTTTAGAAACCCCAGAATTTTGCAATTTATAGCAAAGTATTAGTTTGTTGTGTGCCTTTGTCACTTTTAATGTGCTACATCCTTGCAGTCACTGCCATTCAAACCAATCTTCGTATGTATAGGAACTCAATTCGTATGTCTTTGACAATGTTTTCTGCATACTTAATAGTGTCAGTCAGCCATAAGTGCGCTACAAGTGCTTGTGTCACACCTGAAGTGCCTGTGACTGCTGTTGTAGAGTTAGGGTTTTGTTTCATGATTTTAAAGTTCATATTTTGCAGTAATTTGGTAAAAATCTCCCAGCTCATGATTAAAGGTTCCAAATTAATCTGTTCACAGAATATTTCATTTCTCAGAAACTTCTGGCCATGAGGAACAAATAATTATGGGATTTTTTTAGTGCTTTGTATTAAAATTTATCATCAGACTTCCTTTCCATTATTTCTCTGTAGTCTGAGTGTGCTACAAAAGCAGCTTTTCCCACAGGACTTTGGAGCTGATTTTTCAATTCCCAGTGTCCTGGTTTCAGCTGGAATAGAGTAAATTTTCTTCCTAGTAGCTGGTGCAGTGCTGTGGTTTGGATTTAGTCTGAGAACAATGCTGAAAACACACCGATGATTTTAGTTGTTGCTATGTAATACTGACCCCAATCAAGGACTTTTCATTCTTATCCTCTGCCAGTAAGGAGGGGCACGGGAAGATGTGAGGAAGCAGAGACAGGACACCTGACCCAAACTAGCCAAAGAGGTATTCCATACCACAGCACATCATGCCCAGTATAGAAACTGGTGGGGGTTGGCTGGGAATATCCGGGCATCAGTCAGCAGCTGAAGAGTCACTTGGGTCATTCTTTGTTTTATTCCTATCTTTCTCTTTATTTCTTATACTTGGTAGTAGTATTATTATTGTTGTTGTTTTGTTATAATTATTGTAATATTTCACTTATTTTAATTATGAATCTATTCTTATCTCACACCACAGGTTTACCTTTTTTTCTGATTCTCCTCCCCATCCCACCAAGGAGCAGGGAGTGAGCATGTGGCTGCAGGTACTCCGTTGGTAGCTGTATTGAAACCATGACACTCAGCTGGCATCAGAAAAAGCAGAAAAAATAGAATAGATTTTAAAAGACAAAGCTCTGTACCTGAAATCCTTTCTTTCCAGTTCTAAGTAAGTGGAAAGTGAAGAACTAGAACAGCTTATATCTGTTTAATTCCTTAAGCTTTAAACATCACACTGCCTGTTGATAAAGTCTTCCTCTTTTCTCACACTTGAAGAAAATTGATGCTACTCTGGTTTGCTGAGTGTTAAGGTGAGGTTTTTGTGGTGAAACTGTAACTCCCATAGCTCAGTGAGGAGTCAAACAGAATGTTCTTTATGACCCAACACAGCATCCAGGATAAAGTTGTTGTCAGTGACGTTTTACACTTCCTCATAAGTTTTCATGGTCTTTCACAGTATGTTTTCAAAGTTTCTAAAACCAGGACCTAAAACTGCTGCTAACATCTCCAGTCAATTCACTCTGATCTTGTAATCAAACAAGACTGCAGAGAATCTGCCAGGCAATTTTTCCCTAAAGTGTTTGAACCTTACAGGCATATTTCTAGTGCCAAAAATCATTACAAAATTGAAAACCTCTTAGTCAGGTACAATCAAGTGTGAATCTTGGTCTCTGGGTATATAATTTTTTAGATTTAGGGCACGTTAGTGTTAAAAACTTGACAGCTTGTCTGAAACTATTAATTTTTTAAGCTAAAGGATCTCTCCTGTCATGACTTTTTAGTGTTATCATATAACTATTTGAATCTGACCTGGCAGCAAGCCATACATTTCTGCTTTAAATTAAATGATTAGTATTAGTAGTAACAATTACTAATATTGATATTAATAATTGTTCATAATAATCAACTATGCAGACAACATTGTCAAAGACATACCAAAGGAATTCCTGCACATACCAAGACAGGTTTAAATGGCAGTGACAGTAGGAGTGCAGCGCATTAGAAGTAACAAAGGCACCCAATAAACCAATAATGCTTTGCCATAAATTGCAGAATTCTAGTGTTTTGTAAAGGTTTATTCATTATTAAATATTAGCCTTATTATTATTATTTAATAATATTATTAAACAGGCACTAAAAATTTTACCAACTTCTGTCTGGTTTACATTTAATTTTAGCAGTAATCTGTTTAAAAATTGTTCTACACTTCAGTTCTTTCCTGTTGGAAAAATTCCTTCTGATACTTTTTATTTGTACAATCAATGTACACTTGCTTGTTCCAAAATTTTAAACAGATAATCAACGCTTTTCTAGCATGAAATCACGCCATCTTACTAAAAGCTTTTCCCATCACTCCCTACTTAAACATCCGTGATAATAAATAAATCTAAGAGCTACTGGCAGGTAGCCATTTTCAACCTATTTTCTTGAAGAAATAGGAGTGACACTTCGAGGCAGTATCAGCTAACTGAACAGCTGTTTGGATCTTAAAGAGAATTGATGGAAATTAATATATATAAAATCAATTTTCATTGTTTAAGGTATATGAGGGTTTGTTTCATTTTAGTTTTTTTCTGTAGGGATATTTAAATAATATGATCTGAAGTCAGCAGATTTCATTGTTCATATTTACTTCAGATCCTCGTCTGGTAAATTCACAGATACTCAGGCTTTTAAACTGTGAGATATTAATTTATCTGGTATTTTGCAGGTTTGCCATGACACTGCTGCCTCTTTTAGCCTGGGATGTTGACATCTTTGAATTTTGATATGGTGCATCTTTTGCATGAATAGTTTATTAAGAAATGAGCTTGGGCCCATCACATCACTTCTGATGAAAACCTTGCTCAGCTAAAACCAATCTTAACCTCAACATACACTGAACAATTTCTCAGTTTCAGCTTTTGAAGAGGTTTTTATTTCCAAATGCTAAACTGTGAATTGTTTAAGAAAGACTAAATACCTAAAATATAGTTAAATTAACTAAACCTGAACACTGTTTTCTTCAGCATTCTGAGAAAGCTGTTTCTCATTTTCTCTTATTCATGTCAACTTATTTGTAATGTAGATTTACCAGGCCTAACTTTAGAGATCATTGGACATTGTATAGACCTACACACTACTAAAACTGGACAATGATGTCACTGACGTAATAGAACTAAAGTGGAGGAGAACAGACACATTAATGCTGTCCATTCCTGTACCACTGCCCCAATCTATAGCTGTTTTTGGTAAATGTGTTTGTACCCATTACTGTAAAGTCCATTCCGTTCCTTTATCCCTGTGTCAGTACATTCCTTATTGCAGTGCCTATGACCCTTTTCTGA